CCACCCTGATCCTGTTTCCAAGAGCTCAAGCATGATTAAACACAGGTGTAGCATTCCCCTTTATTAGGTCAATGGTTCATGTTTTGTTATGTAATTGTTCATGCATATTCATGTTGCTGAGAGGCGGAGCCAAGTGAGATGCTATAAGAGGCAGAGGCAGAGTGAGTCAGGAAGGTCAGAGAGAGAGAGTTTTGGAGAGAAGTAGATAGAGTGTGGAGTTTGGGGAATTCTGAGGTGTGATTAAAGTTATGAGTGTACTATCAAATAGAAAATTCTTGTTAATTATAAATTTACCTAAAGAAGATATTCATGAATCACTATCAATTTCTGTAATCAATAAACAAAAGTTATAGTTAAAAGACTTTGAAGTGTGGACCTGAATCTTCATCTTCCTGAAGTAATGGTGATTTAATGATCACCTGGTGGCAGCAGTGTAAAAGAGGGGATTATTTGCCGTTGTGTGCTCTGAGTCTTCACGGTCAAGTAAGGAGCACGAGGATGAAAGCCACAATTGGTGTCCAGCGGTGGGATACGAAGAAATCCAGTGAAGCCTGAGTTTGGATGCGAAGAAATCCAGTCAAGCCTGAGTTTAAAAAGATTTTTTCTTGAGTCAAGGGTACCTTTTATACAAAGGTCTATGGCAAAGACGTTTGTTTCCTCACTAGAGCTTTTGGGAAAAGCTTAGTGGTGGGGGCTTCTGAACCCAGATCTGGGGGGGGGTCTAAGATAGGGAATGACTCAGAGAGATAATTCCTGTATTTACCTCAAGATTTGAAGACCCAGTGGACTAGCTTAAGGCTCAAGGCTCTAAGAGTTTAGAGACCGCTTGTGGAAAGCAGAAGCTTTTAAGTGACTGGAAGTAAAAGAGGGAAGACAGATCCATTATAAAATCAGTAGAAACACACTGTAGGAAAAGTCACTCAGATAAATATGCCTCCCAAAGGAACTAAAAGACCAGTAATAGTGGAAACTGAGTCTCAAGAAGCACAAAGTTTGGTACCTCAGGAAATGGAGGAAAATGGAAACCCTTTAACTCCAGGAGAACAGTTTGAGACTGAGGAAAATGCCTCTGAAAGACCAAGTATCCTAAACTTTCAAGAGTTTCTAAAGTGGAAATCACAACAGGAATTTAAATTGAAAGAATTAGCGATCAAAATAAGAATCATGAAATTAGAAAGGAGAGGAAAAGCTGTGCAAGGGGCCAGACAAATGACATTTGAGCAGGAAAAAAAGACAAATGGAGTTGGAGTTAAAACAAATGAAATTTCAATTAGAAATGAAAAGATTAGCACAGCCTAGTTCTCAAACCCAAATGAAATCTGAGGTGAATTTTAACAAGCAGAATTGGGACGACAATAAGAAGCCCTTTAATAAAAATGACTTCAGCAAAACAACAGGAAATGAAGGCCAGGGTGGTGCCTCAGCTGAATTGGCCAGCCTAGTTCCCAGAACCAAATGAATCTTGATGAAAAGTTTAATGGATCTCCTCAGGATGAGAGAAGGAATTATGGATGCTGCAAATGCGGTGAGCCTGGTCATGTACAATTCAATTGTACATAAAATAAAACATGGAGAATAATGTGGAGAATAATGGCCAGATCAAGAAAGTATACTGCTTGGGAACTGTGAAGGCCTCTGAGGGAAACCATGGCCAAGGTTCTTTCCCCATGGCAACCACAGCAACTGAGCAAGAAGACATTCCTGTAGCCCCTATCATCCAGTGTTTTTATCTAAAAAATGATAATAGTACTCTTCTCAAAAGTACTGGTGAAGAGATATTAGTGGGAGGAAAGAAATACATTGCTATAAGGGACACAGGAGCTCAAATTTCCATAGTGCATTCTGATCTGATAGTTCAGGATGACATAATTCCAGGCAGAACAATGACCCTAAAGGGGATTGGAAAAGAAACAGTGGTGTTAAAAGTAGCTGAGATTCAAATAGGCTATAGAAATTGGTCTGGAAAGTGGCAGGTAGCAATTTCAGACAATATACCAGCAGCTTTTCTACTTGGTTGGGACTTAATAGAGCATGTCAAGAGTGCTTTTGTGTTTACACGCTCAAAGGGGGGTAAGACCTCCCCCTCTGCAGCTGGGAGTGATACAGTATCAGAGAGAAGCCTGGAGAGAGGGGTTTTCTTGGATACCCAGCTTAATAGTGGTGCTGAAGCTGATTTCATACTACTGAAGAGTCCCTATAAAAATAGTTTGGTTCAGGAGCAGAAGGTGGAAATCAGTTTGGTGAGTTGTTGTGAAACAGCCACCAGTACACCCATTTTATTATCTCTTGAAACCCCTGAAAGGTCTTGCCTGGATAAGGAGCTTTTATATAGGAAAACGTCCTTAGAAGTGGCAGAGCCAAGCTTTGGAAGTACTCCTGGAAAAGAGAAAGACTTGAATGAGACCCAGGAAAGAGTATTCTGTCCTGAGGACTGTGAGGGTTCATTGTGAGATGGGTGAGTCACTCCTAATAAAGTACTAGACGGTTTTAACGTTTCAACTTTGTTTGTATTTATTAACACTTCAACATTAACTGGAACTTCTTTAGGAACAGGTTCTAAAGTCTCTTGCGGTCCAAACCCTGGTCGCAAGGGTGTCCAAACGTTGCCAACGAAAGGGTTACTGTCCTCAAAAGCCCACAGTCCCGGCATATCCTTCTCTAGGACCGGTTCTTCGCCGCCTTCTTCCTCCGGTTCAATCAGGGGAAGGGTCTCCTTATCCCCACTCCAACCCCAGAGTGGGGACCCCTCTCCTGGGCTGGCCAACCACGGTCCGGGTAGACCCCCATCTTCTGTAACTCAGCGAGATGTCATGCTTTCTTCCTTTCCAGCTCTCTCACTACCGCCTCTCTCTCTTCCCTCAACTGGCGTCTCCACTCCTTAGCCTCCGTCTCTCCCCAGTCAGATGGACGGGGTCATTGTCCTTGTTGCCTCCTCCTTTCCGCCTCCTCATGAGGGACTTTTACCTGTTCCCACTCCCCAGTCCAGGGGTCCTGGATCCAAATCAATTCCCAGCCACCTGGGATCTCACCTCCCTTCACTTTTATATCCCCCGCTCCCGCCTCTATCTCCCCTCCCCCACTTCCCGCCAAAATCCTCCCGGACTTGCCCGTTATAGTTAACTCTTTCATCACCTCCACCAAGTCACTAGTATCAACCCCTTGGTGTCTCTGTCTTTCCCTTCCGCTTATTTCTTCCAATTCTCCAGTGTCCACCTGTTTGTCCTCTTTCCTAGGCGGGGAAGGTGGGGGAGAAGTCTGGGTCGTACTAGAACATGACGGGAGCGACGGCACTCCCACATAAGCCTCTTGGCCTTGGCTTGGAGCTTTACAAGGACCAAGTAGTAGATCTGAGAACTATAGAGGGGAGAGAATTGCTTTTGGCAAGGGAGGAACAAGTAGACCTTAAGACCTTACAAGACAAACCCCTACCTAGCTTATCTATGAATGAAGAAATAGAATCAGATAACACACTCAGTGCATCTAAAACAAACCAATTTTTTATGATTGCACTTGAAAGATACTCACCTAAGAATCTTAAAGTGACCCATGATAGTGGTCCCCGCATTGGGAAAACTTTGTAATAAAAATACGTGTGAGTGAATGTGTGAGTGAGGAGGAAGATGTAAGCCCTGATGCCTTAAAGGGGGGTGCATCTAAAAATGTTTGGGAGGAGGAGAGGGAACTGCCTACCCTTTCCCCGGCTGAGAAAGGGAAGCCCCAAGCCAGACTTAAAGCTGATGTCACTAGAAAACGACCAGCAGATGACATCCTGTGGACGACCGAGTGGCCAATAACTGCCAGTCGATGGAAAAGGTTGCAGAGGAAAGAACCAGTGGTTGACAGAGGGACTCCTGAGTGCCAGCAGAAGGAGGGGATGACAACCAGACCAGTCCACGGTGCGCCAGACGACTATGGAAAAGTGAGAGACTTGGACTTTGCAAATTTTGCCTTTGCAGCAGAAACTCAGATCTTGTCTCGAAAGCCCACAATGTTGTCGCAGATATGCTTTCCAGGAGGCGAGATGAATGATGCAAGGACTTCTAAAATAAACCGAAATGGACTATAATTCACAGTTTAATTATTTATGTAAAAGTTTAATGTTTGTGATTTCTATATGGTTGAAAATGTTAAATGTAAATCATAAGGTAAAGTATATTGTTTAATAGTAATGAAATGTTAGAGTATAAGTATAGTAATTGTTATGTTAGACGTGTTATATGGTAAGTAAAGTTAAATGCAAGTGTGCCTGTTTGTTTAGGAGGAAAAACCTGTTTCCCCTCCCAAACAAACATATTTAAGGGGGGAAGTCTGTAGCGTTCCCCTTTGTTAGGTCAATGGTTCATGTTGGTTATGTAATTGTTCATGCATATTCATGTTGCTGAGAGGCGGAGCCAAGAGAGATGCTATAAGAGGCAGAGTCAGTGTGAGTCAGGAAGGTCAGAGAGATATAGTTTTGGAAAGAGAGAGAAGTAGATAGAGTGTGGAGTTTTAGGGAATTCTGAGGTGTGATTGAAGTTATGAGCGTATTATCAAATAGAAGATTGTTGTTAATTATAAATTTACCTAAAGAAGGTATTCATGAATCACTATAATTTCTGTAATCAATAAACAAAAGTTATATTTAAAAGACTTTGAAGTGTGGACCTGAATCTTCATCTTCCTGAAGTAATGGTGATTTAATGATCACCTGGTGGCAGCAGTGTAAAAGAGGGGATTGTTTGCCGTTGTGTGCTCTGAGTCTTCACGGTCAAGTAAGGGGCACGAGGGTAAGCACCACAACAGATACTTGCAAGTTTCACTTGTTCTTAATTTCCACACCCAAAAGGAAAGGCCAAGCTTGTATAGTTTCACTCTGATTATACATCACTTCTACTAAATGAGGGCAGGTCTGTAAAACTATCAACTAGAGTTTGAATTTTTAAACTGAAATTCTGTGTTTATTATCCCATAAAGATCTAACATTCACCGTTATATTTAACTATATTTAATTTAATACACAGGCAAACCGCTGGATAAGAAATAAAGAAACAAAAAGTGGTTTAAAGATAATTAAGCTTACCGACTCTGGTTTCCTGCGTACCCTGGAGAATGCTATTCGTTTGGGCTTACCTGTTCTTCTAGAAGAGGTTCGGAACTTTTAATGTTAAAATATGCAAAACTTGTATTTCCTGTTCTTTTATTTATACAGTGGTGCCTAGCATTGCGACATTAATTCGTTCCGCAAAAATCGCTGCAGAATGAAAACGTCGCAATGCGAAATAAAAAACCCATAGAAACGTATTGAAAGCCCTTCAGTGTGTTCCTATGGGCTGGAAACTCACAGTTCAGCGAAGATCCTCCATAGCGTGGCCATTTTTGGTGGCTGTAGAGCGAGGAATCTGTCCCAGAAAACAGCGGGCGGCCATTTTGAAACCGCCGATCAGCTGTTTTAAAACCGTCGCTTTGCAATGCTCGGTTCCTGAAGCAGGGAACCGATCATCACAAAGGGAAATTCCCCCATAGGGAACATTGCAAAGCAATCGCTTTTGCGATCACAAAAAATTTGTCCCAAAGCAATTTCATCGCTAACCGGAGCGATCGCTATGCGAGGCACCACTGTACTATTAGACATAGGCCAGAATCCTCTAGTTCTCTGTCTAGTCCGTGTAACTGTTAAGAACTTTAACCTGGTCCCACTCCAATCTCTTGTTGTTATGTGACGTCAAGTTGCTTTCAACTCATGGCAATGCTATGAATGAATGCTCTCCAAAATGTATCCTGTCCGCAGCCACCCTCCTGAGCTCTTGCAGACTCAAGTCCATGGTCCCTTTTACAGAGTTAGTTCATTTCACATGTGGTATTCCCCTTTTCCTGCTGCCTTCCACCTTTCCCAACATGATTTTCTTTTCAAGAAAATCCTGAATGTTCATGATGTGCCCAAAGTAAGATAGCCTCAGTTTCAACACTTCTGCCTCCAGAGTTAGTTCAGGCTTGATTAGATCTAAGACCCACTTGTTTGACTTTCTGGCAGTCCAGAGTGTCCACAAAGTTCTATTCCAGCACCATATTTCAAGCAATTCATTTCCCCCATGTCAGCTTTCTTAACTGTTCAGCATTCACATCCATACATGGTGACCAGAAATACAAGATGATCTGGGTTTTGGTCTCCAGTGAAACATCCTTACAGTTGATTATTTTTTTCTAGTCCCTTCATTGCTACCCTTCTTAGTCCCAGTCTGATTTCTTGGATGCAGTGTGCATTTGAACTGATGATTGAACCAACTTATACAAAATCTCTAACTATTTCAGTTTCTTCATTGTCAGTGTTAAAGTGGGGTAGTTTTTCTGTAGTCGTTATTTTTGTCTTATTAACATTCATCTGCAATCCTGCTTTGGCAATTTCTTCTTTCAGTTTCCCTAACAGTTGTTTCAAGTCATTGCTGCTTTCTGCCAGTAAGATGGTATCATATGTATATCTTGAATTAATGATGCTTCTTCCACCAATTTTCACTCCTCCTTCATCTCAATCCAGTCCAGCTTTCTGTATGATATAAGGCTATGGAATCAGCTCCCAGAGGACCTATGCCTGACCCCCTCCATGTGCTTATTTAGGATACAGCTGAAAAAGTAGTCTTCAGAGAGGCTTTTCAACCCAACCCCAACTGCCTCCCATACGGTCTGCTTTATTGTGAAATTTTGTTGGTGCCATTGGTTTTTATGTTTATGCTTTGTCACTGTTAATGATAGCTTCTAGGGAGCAGACTTGCAAATGGCATAGCTAAAATAAACCTCCTTCAGTTTCACCTCTACAGTACCTAAAACTACAATGCCCACAGTAGTTCTACTTATTTATTTACTCATTTATTTTTAATTAAAACATTTATATGCTTCCATTTTGCTCTAGTATTCAAGACAGTTGTGGTACCAGTAAGAATTGCATGGATACAGATACCTATACAAATGTAGATTTCCCTGTAGCAAAATTCTTTATTGTGAATGATCCTATTTTGTTTGACAGCTAGCCAGCCATACCTTCTTCTGGGACATTCAATATTATTTTCCCTAGCCCATCTTTCCATCCTTCTATCTGCAACAGTTATTAAATATTATGTGGCCACTGAATATGCACAATCTCCATGAGGCTGTTTTGGATTTGTTTCCCTTCGTCCCTGTACCTCTGGCCCTAATTTTTGTATACAGATCTATCTCAGAGGCTATTTTGTTTTCAAAATTCTAAAAGCCAACTCACTGGGTGTTCAAATGACAGAAAAGAAAGAAGCACAAGAATATAGAGTCATAGAACTGGAAAAGACCACTGAGTCCATCCAGTCCAACCCCCACCATGCGGGAACATCCATCAAAGTACTCCCAACAGATTGCCATCCAGCCTCTGCTTAAAAAACTCCAAAGAAGGAGACTCCATCACCCTTCGAGGCAGCCTACCCCACTAACGGACAACTCTGACCTTTGTCACATTCCTGGGGGTTATAACAGCAGAGTACGATAATCCAGTCCTATGTCAGGAATTCAGGGAATGCAGAGCCAATATCCAAATACCAAAGCCAACTCACACAACGTAGTCCAGGGTCAGAGTCCAAAGCCAAAACACACAATGTAGTCCAGGGCCAGTGTCCGTTCTTGGGCAAGATTCTTTGATGGAACCTATTATGGCTATCCGTTTCAGTCTGGCTTCAGGCAGAGTTTGGGGACAGAAACTGCTTTGGTTACTTTGGTGAATGACCTATGTTGGGAACTGAACACAGAACTCAACTGTTACTTCTGCTGGACCTGCCAACAGCTTTTGGTACCATCACCCATTATATCCTTTTGACTGCCTATGTAGGATGGAAATTGGTGGCACTGCCTTGCAGTGGTACCAGTTCTTCCTGGAGGTCTGATCTCAGATGATACGGTAAATTCCTGTTTGACACCTTGGCTTTTGGCTTATGGAGCCTATTAGGGTTCTGTCTTGTCCCCCATGCTACTTAATATACACATGAAATCACGAGAAGAGGTTGTCTGAGATTTTGGAGTTTGCTGCCACCAATATGTGGATAAAACCCAACTCTGTCACTCTTTTTGATCTAAATCTGATCAAAATCTTTCAGTGCTTAACTTGTGTCTGGAGTCAGCAATGGACTGGATAATGGTGATTAAGTTAAGACAAGACAGAAGTGCTCCTGGTCAGTCAAAAGGCACATCTTAGAATAAGGATTTAATCTGTGCTAGATGGTGTTAAACCTCTCCTGAAAAATCAGGCTCACAACTTAGATGTGCCTGTCCTCATTCCTAAGCCTGGATACTCAAGTCTCAGGAAAGCACTTACATAGTTAAAGTTGGCATGCCAGTTGCACCTATTCCTGGAGATACTGTATCTGAACTGGAAACAACGACATATGCTTTAGTTGCACTCTGACTGGATTACTGCAATGTGTTCTACATGGGGCTGCCTTTGGAAAATGTTTGGAAACTTCAGTGGTCCCTGACTGCTGGCCAAGACCAGTTATGGAGAACACAAAACTTCCTTCCTGCAACAGATTCACTGGGTACTGGTATGTTTCCCGGCACAATTCGAAGTGTTGGTTATGGCCTGCAAAGGTTTATTTCACTTGGGTCCAGGTTATCTGAATAACTGTATCCCTCTAAACGAGCCCACCTGAAGTTTAAGATCTGCTGCAGGGGCCCTTCTCGCAATCCCACCGTGTTCAGAGACCCATCTGATGGTGAGTCCAAACAGGGCCTTATGCGGACATTTGAACATGAAAAAAAAATCAGTGCCCTGTGGCTCTGGAATATCTTGTAAAGAAAATCTAAGTTTACCCTCTCTCTGTTTTCCTTCTAGCAGCAAACAGTTATAGCATATCAGTCAAAACCAAATGACCTGCCCACTGGCAGATAGGCAGGCTGGCTGGCAGGCTGCAGTTCCAGATGGAGAGTGCAAGAGGCTCTGTCTTGGGAGAGAGCCGGCGAGAGAGGCGAGGCTTTTTTGATTCTTGACAGCAGAGGACATGTGGGTACTTCAGGAGGGGCAGGCAAGGCAGGGGGCACAAACTATCTGGTGGGCCGCAAATGGCCCCCAGGCCACATGTTTGAGACCTCTGATCTAGACACTATGCTCCTATTGATATAACCAAGAATCGCATTGGCTTTCTTGGCAGCCACATCACACTGCTGACTCATGTTCAGCTTGTGGTCTGTCTACCAAGGCACTTAGATCCCTTTCACAGGTACTGTTGTGCAGCCAGGTGTCTTCCATCCTATATCTGTGCAGTTCACTTTTTTCTGCTTGGCTGTAAGACATTACATTTCTCCCTGTTGAAAATCATTTTGTTGGTTTTTTGCCGAGGACTCTAATCTGTCAAGGTCATTTCGAATTTTAATCCTGTCCTCTGGGGAATTACCAATCACTACCAATTTGATATCATCTGCAAATTTAATCAGCATACTCTCTATTCCTTCATCCAAATCATTGATAAAGATGTTGAATAACACGGGACCCAGAACAGAACTGTGGGGCACCCCACTAGTCACCTCTTTCCAGGACAAAGGGCAGCCACTTGTGATCACTGTTTGGGTTTGGTCAGTCAGCCAATTACAAATCCACCTAACAGTAGCACTGTCTATCCCACATTCTACTGGCTTCTTTTCAAGAATATTGTGAGGAAAGTTGTCAAAGGCCTTACTGAAATCAAGATATGCTACATCTGCAGTGTTTCCTTCATCCACTAGGCCTGTAACTCTGTCAAAAAAAGAGATCAAATTAGTCTGACATGACTTGTTTTTGAGAAATCTGTGTTGACTTCTAGTAATAACAGCATTGCTTTCTAAGTAATTGCAAAATGTCTGCTTAATGGTCTTCTCTAGAATCTTCCCAAGAATTGATGATATTACTCAAATTGCACACAGGAAGGGACTGCTACTGAGAAAACAAGAGCACTGGGGTATCCAAAGCAGGATGTAAGCGGAACTAACCAATGAAAGCTTGTGTGTTTTAACTGTCCTTGCTGACGATAATATATTAAATGATCTGATTCTCTCTTTTTAACAGCTTAAAGAAACTCTTGACCCAGCTCTGGAACCCATTCTTTTGAAGCAGACCTTTGTTTCTGGTGGAAGACTGCTCATTCGCCTTGGAGATTCTGACATAGATTATGACAGAAACTTTAGGTTCTACATGACGACAAAAATGCCAAACCCACACTACTTACCGGAGGTATAGTAATATTTATACAGTGCAACCTGGAATAGCCAGATGAGTCATATCTAGGGTGGTGATCCTATATGCAGTTACCTGGGAGTAAGCTCATTAAACACAAATGGGTTTAAATCATAGGAGATAAGCAGAGAATTGTACTGTATCATTTTCAAAGTGTATATCACCTCTCCTTTCTAAAAATTAAACTAGGAGTCACTTTTGGCTTTCCGGTTGGATTATTTGGTTTTTTTTTTTTTTTTTTTTTTGGTCAGTATCAAGAAATACCTAAGTCTCTCCCTGTTTGGTGGGCAAATTGTATATTTATGATGTACACTGTTGATTTTTTCATACATTGGTTAGAAAGCATGTGATAGTATATTTAACAGGACTAGTGAGAAAAATGAGATTTCAGAGCTCCTGCCTTACAGGTTACAATTTAAAATAGAATGGTAAGTCATGCTAGTTGACATTTAGTAGTATTTTAAGCATAGCCATATATACAAAACACATTACACATCTATAATGTTTAGCAATTCTTCCCTGCACTGTGATATCATTCTGTACATTTTACAGCTAGTAGCTGTGGCAGGCAATGATTTGAAAGAGGGCAGAGAAGTATACAGTGTAGGCCAGAATCCATTTGAGTGCATAAATTCATCAGTGTATGTTTCAGAATTGCCCCTTGTTAAAAACCCAAGGATTTTACTTCTGTTACCAAACAAGGCACACGACTATTATATGGCAGGAAATACCTTACCTCTCAATTGGCGAAGGTTTGTGCTGTGAGAGACTGGTGGGCACAAGTAGTAATATTCTGGCCAGAACAATTCCACAATGTAAGGAAGTTTTCTTGTACTGGGTGGAGGGAGAACTTGGCCAGGGGGTGGCATGCTCATATAATGTGATTTTGCTGTACTTTTAGATACCCAGTTTGACAATTCAATAGTAGTTTAAGGTAGTATTTAATAAGGTTTCACAGCTCTGCTGTGAGACAGAGAAATCAATTTCCGCTCATGGTCACTGTATGACTTTTCAGAATTAATGAGCAACGTAAGTGTGGTTGAAAGTAGTAAAAGCATTGTCAGTACTTTCTCAAGCTCCATCAAATTACATTAGCTTGGTTGGTTTGGCAATGAACTGTGGAACATAAGCAGATTTTAACCTGGTTGTCCTTGGAATCTAGGTATATTTCAAGTATTCACAAATGCATTTCAGTTGTATAAGGGAAATTCATGACAGTGTCACAAATACTGCTGCTAGTTCCTTATCTTTTTCAAGTGTCTGTTTTTCATGTTTATTTAGTGCAGTAACTGAAAATAAGGTCTTTTTATTGCATAGAAAACATGGTGGTTTCTTTTTTTGTGGTCTGTGTGATTCACACATACAGGTTTCTTTCCTGTATCTGAACAGAAAGATTTTAGAACTGAGCTGAACCTTTTTGGCAGAAGCCTTAACTGCATGCAACCGGACATGATGCAAAATGTCTCCTACCCCCCCCACCCCGATTTTTTTTTTACCTGCTGCAGTGTTTGCAGCATGTTCAGAACTTTTTCTCAGCCACTTCTGCTGAGCTTTATTCTACTTGTCCTTGGACTTTTCAACTTTTGGCTTGGCTTTCTTCAACTTTTATGGATCACTTACACTGGCTTTATCACATATGTTTCTGCTTGGTTTTTCTGACTTGGACTATTGTGTTCACTCTTGTGGCTCTCCCCTTTGACTTCCGTATTGCTCGGTTTAATGGCCTCTAAAGATCTTTTTTCAAAAAAAAATGTTGAATGCATGGCTAAGATCTCCCAAACTGACAGGCACTCCAAGTGCTCTATTTGCCTTGGAAAAGGCCATGTGAGAAGTGCCAGCATTGTCCAACTCTTAAAAACAGGCACTTGGTAAAAGATAGTGTAAGCTTCAGAGCACTTGACCCTGGTTCCTAGACCAGTTGCACTTTCCATGGAGCAGTTATACCTGACTCATTTTACTTTGTCAGCACTGGCAGCTCCACTACCATCCTCTGTATACCAGTTGCACTTTCCATGGAGCAGTTATATCAATCTACTTTGTCAGTACTGGCAGCTCCACTACCATCCTCTGTGCCATCAGCTACTTCTGAAGTGCCCATCACACAAACCAGACACATAACTAAAAAATAGCTTAACACCAATAGTATGATACCAAGAAATCTCAAACCTGATACTCTTGATGCCATTCAAAAGATCAAATACTCCCATTCTTTTCCACCTGAGTTCAGGAATATATTCTTTCCTTATACTCCTTCCTGAGTTCAGGAAGGAGTATAAGGACGACAGTCATTGTTCAAAATCCTTTCTCCCTCTCTTATAAGGGTCCAGTTCAGCCAGCTGAAAGTGGGTGTCTATGCCCCTTTGGCCGTAGCAGCTTCCTTGCCTCCACCTCTTGAGAATGGTCATACTGGCTTCATGAGTTACCTCTGCTAGGGTCCCTAGTGCCCCTCTTGAAGATTGCACAAGAAAATGTGAAGAACTAACTCTTGAATTTTAACATGACCAAGTTAGCGATTTCACCAGCGATGTCCAGTTTGTTGCCCCTTACTGTGATGGCAAGATTCTGGACTTACCATCTTCACCAATTACATATTCAAGGCACTGAGATCCTTCCAGATCACCATATTGATGTCTACATAATGTTTCCAATTCATCATCTCACAATTGATCAAAGCCCTGTGTCTCAAGAATAATTGCAGGGTCATTCTAAGCATCATGCCCCCACCTACAATAGTGAATAGAGTAGAAGCAAAAGAGAATGTCTCATCAGCCACTCCCCGTTGTCACTGTCACTCCTCATTTCCATGACATTGATGACATTCTCCAGATTCATACTATTATCATATCTAATTTGATTATTGCTCTCACTCTTATGATATTATCATTCGATTGACCCATAATATTATGATTGGTAGCAATGGAAGTATTACCATCCTCATAAGCAGTCTAGTTTATACCCTCTGAATGCACATACCATTCTACAGCCACTAATAGTGGAGCACTCACTTAATCCAGCACAGATTTAGTCCTGGTTCACACCATTTTGTCCTCTCAAACCACTACCTCCACTACTCATGCAACAATGGCTTCAGTCTTGTTGATGGCACTGGCTCTATACTTGACTCAGTCCCCAACATTGACATTGATCCCTATGATTACTGAAAATGTACCTTCAGTTACCTCTTCAATGGTGACCACAGTATTGACATCCAAAATGGCAGCTGCTTATGGTCATGCTGTCTGTGGCTCTTCATGAGCAATATGACTGAAGGATTCTAGGAGATAGTACCAATGATTGTTATTCCTCAATTGGCTCTGATTGAAATGATAGAAGTTATGCTCCTCATCACTTTCTGTTCTCAGACATCTTGGTCCTTGCCAGACACTCTTGTAGGTGATCAAAAATCCCTTTCACTATCATATCTGGAAGGCTTGCTGGCTAATGCACAGTAATCTGAGGGCAAGGCTCCTACCCACATGCCTAGCTTAGCTCTAGAAATTTCTGAACCGCTCTACTTAGACATAGAGAAAAATTATATGTCTAAGTGCAGAGATGACCATTGAGAGAGGCACAGTTACAGGTAAGCAGCCTGTTCAGAAAGGCTTAATCCCTATCCACTTAAACATTTTCAAGGTTCAATGTTTGTTCTTCTTTAAAGATTAGATTGTATACTGTTCTTACTGAAAATGTCCTGACATCTAGACAATGTTCATCTTATCTCGCTTTGAATCTTTTTCCCCCTCTACAAGTAGCCACACCTTTTTGTCTCTTTCAAAAAACTAAGGTTTATTATTGTATTACTTTGTATGGGGTTGGTGTTCAGTGCTAAGGATTCAGTGAGACTTACTGCTGAAAAAAACATTATGAAGGATTACACTGACAGTGTCTTATTTCCAAGTGTACACCAATGTCATTTCACAATAACACTAAATTCATTATTGAGTTTTTGATTATATGTTAATAGAAAAGATGTTTTTAATACTTATGCAATTTTTCTCCTGTATTTCTCCTATAGGTGTGTATTAAAGTAACAATAATCAATTTCACTGTTACCAGATCGGGCCTGGAAGATCAACTGCTAAGGTGTTGTCCTTTTATTTAATGTCATCTATTCAGTTTACACAACTCTTTTCACAAAATGTCTGCAGCATATGCGAGAGTCTCTGCTGAGTGAGATACTGGATTTCCAAGTTTCAGACTCTTCACAAGGCTAGCCTTCTTTCACAAAATCAGACACCCAGAGCCCCATTAAAATAAATTAATCTAACCACAATATTGTGACAGTTAAAGAGACTATAGAAGTATTTAAGTCTGTGGCAGGAAAGAAACAGTGGGAAAACAAAACAGCCTGAACACTATGTTGGTGCACCTGTGCCCCATAGGTCTACATAGAGAGAAGGAGCTTCTCTGGAAGGTGGCAGATGTGGTGTTTTGGAGGGTATAGCAGGCTTTAATAGAGTACAGGAAACCAAAAGAAGGAAAGAAAGGGAGAGACAAAGGTTCAAGTATATTTCCCCATCTTGCACTGTGCACGTGTTGTCTTCAGAACTGTAACACAAGATGTAGAGATCAGTGCCAAACTGGAACATAGGCTTGCTTTAAGCTATTCTATACCTCTTCCCAGAGTCGTCATCATTTTGGGTTTGTATCTATTGTTTGTTTATTTCAGACATTTAATGTTGGGTGATTGGCTGGTTGGATCACTGTTGCTGAAAACCGCTTAGAGTAGTGCGTTGTACTAAGTCAGCAGTATATAAATGCATCAAACAAAGAAAAACAAACAATCTTCTCTAAGATAGCTACTCTTGTTCTAATTGTTTTCATAGCAGGTTACATGGAATTTCTTCATTTTGTAATTAATTGTTCGTCCATATATGCTAGTTTCAAAGTCTAATTTACTGTTCTGTCTACTGAATATGGATATGTTCTGTCTATCTCTAATATGGAGAAGGAAGTGTAGTTATAGTTATTTTAACCATTAACTGGATTGTACTTCCCTCCAAAACCATGTGCCTATCTAGATTTTTTTGAACTACAATATCAAAATTACTTTTCCATCTCAAAGTGATGGGTTCTTTTCTCTCAGATCTAGTTCTTGTGGGGCTAGTTTTACCAAGTACTGCAATATTAAAGAGTTCTGGATGTAACAGGTGGTCTTGTTTTTAGGAATAAATGTGAAACGTGTTTTGTTTAATCCAGAATAGTAGGTGTCTCTTAGCTATCAGATTTTTTTTTTGAAACACTGCAAAACAGTATTAAGATGTGGCTTCTAGGTGTTATTCTTGGAAGCACTTACATAAGACAATGAATAATTTTGTACATGTGTTGCACAGTAATATCCAGTAGTTGTTCATACTATTGGTCCCTGTAAAATCTTAATGGGGGTTGGATGCATAACATTTGCTATATTAAACAAACAGAGCCAAATGTGCCAGCAGACCTCCAAGTGTGGGACCATACATTCCTTAGAAAGAAAACATTAGAAGATTCTGTTCAAGTGATTGGAGTCAAGTGGAATTGGTTGCTTTGAGGAACTTAGGTGAAGTGGTTCTAATGCAGCATCTTGAACTGATGCAGAATATTATAACTTGGATGAAATCAACCTGTTTTAATTTTGTCTAAATGTAAAAGTGTAAGTAGGCATAACATGTCAATTGATACAGTGTTTAATTTCAAGGATGTGGATGATAAGGTGACAAGAGAAATGTTAGCCAAAATAGAGTGTTTACTAAGGAAAATAACATCTCTTCTTGGAATATAAAGATTGGAGCCTCATGTTCCCATTAGTAAAATTAGGTTCAGGAAACGAATTGGTAACTAATACAGGTGCCTTAACATTTTAAGGACACTATACATACTTATTAGAATGTGATTTAGAGGATGAGAGGGTGAAAGAGACGATGGTAAAATGGGCAAAAAAAATTGAATATAACATAGGTCTTGATGATTGGACTAAGATGTGGACAGAAAGTTATATTATTTATTTATTTATTTATTTATTTATTTATTTATTTATTTATTTATTTATTTATTTAATTTATATGCCGCCCACACTACCTAAAGGTCTCTGGGCGATGATCAAACCAGCAAATCTTAGAGAAAATATCCTCAAAATGTTTTCTAGATGGCACTATACACCTGTAAGACTAGCAAAAATGTCAGAGGGTAACAGCAATATATGTTGGAAGTGAACAAAATGCGGGAACTTATTATCAGATGTGGCGGACATGCGAAAAAGTAAAAAATTATTGGACACTGGTGTGGGAAATAGTGAAAGAAATGACCCAGCAGAAATTAGATATAAAACCTGAAATGGCATTATTGAATGTTATGCCAGGGATTAATGATAAAAATGAAGCATTGTCTAATGTATACACTCACAGCAGCTAGATTACTCTGGGCCCAAAAATGGAAAAGCGAAGAGACTCCAACGATAGAAGAGTTGTTGAAGAAGCTATGGGACAAAGCAAAACTGGACACACTATCAGAAGCACTACTGGAACAACCAAGAGACTACGTAAAACAAAGCTGGGAACTAATATACTCTTGGGCCCAGAGGACGACAGGAGCGTAGGGCAAATTTTAAACATAGGTCTTGATGATTGGACTAAGATGTGGACAGAAAGTTATAAGATGATCAAACCAGCAAATCTTAGAGAAAATATCCTCAAAATGTTTTATAGATGGCACTATACATCTGTAAGACTAGCAAAAATGTCAGAGGGTAACAGCAATATATGTTGGACGTATTCTTTCTTTCCTCTGTTTTTGTTTTTTGTATGTTGAATTTAAATAAATAAATACAAATTAAAAAAGAGAGGGAAAAAACATTTTAAGGACACCTATCTATTAATAGTAGGAGATTATTAATCCATAATTGTATGTTGAATTTAAATAAATAAATAAAAATTAAAAAAAGAGAGGGAAAAAAGAAAAAAAAATTTAAGGACTCTTATCTGTTAATAGTAGGAGATTATTAATCCATAGGGTGGCCATAAATCAGAAATGTCTTGACAGCGTATAACAAAGACACATTTATAATCAAACCACAATGTTCTGTACTATCCAAAACGGCACTTTTCCCCCCACCTTAACCCCAGTACATAAAAGTTTCCTTTAGGGTAACATGATCACATGTTATGGTATAATTTACCTATCCTGATCTTAATAACGTTAAATGACTTTTTTAAAAACCCTTTTCCTTTAATGTGCTTGAGGAATTTTATCTCTGCAATTTTGAATGCAAACTAATCAGATACACTCCTCCCATGCTAATGTACAGCCTTTATCTCAAGCGTTTATCTCAAAACATGTCTCAGTTAATAATATACATTTTCAGAGGGAAAATTTGTATTAAATATGTAGAATGAAATCCAGTTAATCTCAGCTAGATTGAACCCATTGATATGACTGGCATTTCTTACTCAGAAACAACATTGAGGGTTTGCTCTAGCTGAGACTAGCATTGTGTCCATGTTATAACTCACCAGGTCTCTTCCAATATATGATATTCTAATAAGATTGTTCACATGTGTGGGATGTTCAAGGAATGATTTGCCTTTGCCAGCCTCCAGTGAGTTTCCAAGGCTAAATGGGATTTTTGCCCAGATCTCCTGAGTCCTATTCCAACACTCCATCCACTGCACCATACTAGGTCTCTTGTATCTAGCCCATACCTGATTTGGTGCGCCATTCCAGCTACATCAGAATCTTGGACTTTTCCATAAACATCAGGAATTCCCTCTCACTTCAGTCCTTCAGTCCTTTAAAAATAGTTTCTAGTGTCAAGATGAACCTAGTCTCTTGAGGCAATGAGATACGTTCTCTGAATATTTGTTTTATCTTTATATTTCTTCACCCATTCTTTTCTCATAGCCATACCATTTCATTCTCTTGAAACTAGTTTTCTGGCATTTCTCCATTTTTCAGTCAGCACCAGAGATCAAGAAAAGCCACTTTTTTTTACCACTACAAGCCCCCAGATTCCTGCAGTCAGCAGGACAATGTTTTTCAGTCAGCACCAGAGATCAAGAAAAACCACTTTTTTTACTACTACAGTACAAGCCCCCCAGATTCCTCCAGTCAGCAGGACAATACTGACTATAGGATTCTGGGAGATGCATTCCAAAAAGCATCTTTTCCCATGTCTGTGTAGCATTCCATGCCTATGTTCAGTCCTCACTGAGCTACATGAAGAATACGTTGCCTCCATTCAGTTCCCTCTAAAGACTTCAGCAGATCACAGCAAAGCTCCATGTCTGCTGATGCCCCTTTCTGTTGCCATTTTTCCTTTTTGTTGTTGTTTAGTCGTGTCCGACTCTTCGTGACCCCATGGACCAGAGCATGCCAGGCCCTCCTGTCTTCCACTGCCTCCCGGAGTTGGGTCAAATTCATGTTGGTAACTTTGGTGACACTGTCCAACCATCTCGTTCTCCTCTTGCCCTCGCACTTTCCCAACATCAGAGTCTTTCCCAAGGAGTCTTCCCTTCTCATGAGATGGCCAAAGTATTGGCGCCTCAGCTTCAGTAGTCTGGAAATTGTAGTCTGATAACAAACTTTGGCTGAAATTCTGTTGCTTAGAATGGTAAGTCACAACTGGAGTAGGACCATTTTAATCAATGGAACATACCAAGGAGTTGACTCAGCAAATTGCTGTTGATGCAATGGACATATTTTAGTTGTCACATGATTTCAGACACTCAGTAGGTGTGCTGAATGAAGCATTAGGACATAAAAGAGATAACTTTCTTCATGTTCAATATATTAAATATAAATTATTCACTTTTTTTCTAGTGATGTTGTGCGACTAGAAAGGCCTGAACTTGAGGAACAAAGGACCCAACTCATTGTGAGCATCAATTCTGACAAGAATCAATTGAAAGCCATTGAAGACAAAATTCTAAAAATGCTTTTTACATCAGAAGGGAATATTCTGGACAACGAGGAACTCATCAATACGCTTCAAGAATCAAAGGCAAGCAGCGTCTTACATATACAGGGCTGTATCTAGATTTGTGTCCAGATTCGATCATGGCAAGAGCAGTCATAGAGCTAATTTACAACCTTCCTTGTGATTCAGTCATTCCTCTTGCTTACATGGAGCTGCACAATAGGATTTCTGCCAGTATTTTGAGTGAGTCTGCTCTAAGCATGACTAAATTGGGATCCAGTCCATTTGTTATGATAAAAAGTTAACTGCAGATCCAGGACTGTGTGAAATATTGCAGAAAGGAAATATTTTAGATATTTGCATTTGGATCTAGAATTTTTAATTCACAATTTTGTGCTTATATTGGATGGGATATACTAACCTCATTGTTCCTATAGGATCACAAATCACTGTATTATGGCTGGCTCTGTGTGGATATCATTACAGTTACAGCACATAGATGCAGATCCAGCAGAATAATTATTTTTTATCACACTTCCAGTAATATAGAATTTCAGTCTCCGTATATTAAACCACAGACTGCTCCCATTTGAAACATCCAATGGGCATATATTCCTTTTAAAAATCATACAGATAATTAATTTTCCCTTCAATGTGTTATTAACTTGCTAAAATGATAATGTTTCCACCTATATGTTCATACTCATTTTTATTGTGTTTCTTAATATGTCTTCTTTCAGTTTTGCTAATGAAATACTGGAAGAGAGGGACATAAAATACAGTCTCTCAGTTACTTCATTCATTTCTACATAGAGGAAAGTTTTGGTTTGCACATTTTTAATATTTGCGTCTCAAGTGGCTTCCTTAAGCAACATGGGAATTGCAGTGGCCTGGCCTCAGGAGAACACAAAAGTCCAGGAGAATAATCTAACCCTCGCTCCACCATAAAATATAAAATATGATTGAGATGTAGTCTGCCAAAGGAGCAATAAAAGCAACATATAATCTCTTCTGCCTGAATTTAGGTCATAAATTTCCATGTACTTCAGTAATGCAATAAATTGTCAGGTAAATTCTATCAATTAGAGCAGTGGTTCCCAACCTTGGATAAACCATGTTTTCTCTCCGAAAGCCCCAGCAGCACAGCTGTTGTGAAGCCCTCTGGGAATTGGTCCAATCATTCCTGGGTTACCCAAGGCTGGGGAACATAACTTAGAGGTTTGACATTAAAAATTATAAGTAGTAAAGTAATTTAAATTAGCTGACTACCTATAGACCAATAACCCAGAGATGTCTTTTGGCAGATTGTTAAAATTTCCAATTAATTAATTAACTTGTACTATTTTAGTGTATATAAGGCCTTACTTACATTAATCATGACGAGGCCAGCATTATTTAATTAATTTCTTTGATAGAACTAGTGCTAAGAAAGCCTCCCATTCCTGTACTATGATTAATGATACTAGTAACAGTTACAATCACAGCACGTTTTTATTGGGTTCCTTAAGCTATCTTCCATTTTAACCATTTTCATAAAACACTAATTACGAGTGCCAGCTATGTGGTTCAGAACAATAAAAATTGGATATGTGTTTCTGTTAATTCATTCTGAGTTTGAATGCTTTTTAGGTTACATCTGGTGCCATTAAAGTAAGACTTGTGGAAGCAGAAACTACAGAAGAAAAAATAAATGTGGCCCGTGAAAAATATCGTCCTGTGGCCACTCGAGGATCAGTTATGTATTTTGTGGTTGCAAGCCTGTCAGAGATTGATCCAATGTATCAGTTTTCCTTAAAGTATTTCAAACAGGTTTGTTTTGCTTTAATTCTTCTTTCTTTCAGCTCCCCGAGTAATTTCAAACAGCAAACAATCATGCCTCCCTAAGAGTGCCAGGTTTGCAGAGCTGTAAATGATAAATCAATATCTAGAATTCAAAGAGCTGCTTCAGATGCCCAGCTGTTATTTTTTCCCCTGAAGAACATGCATGTATGCAGATATGCACACAGTATATCATATCAATTTCAGTGCTTTTCAGTTTCAGAATATGATTTCCTCTTTGGCATGAGTGTTTGCTGTTTGAGAACACAAAGCATAGAACTAGCTTTGCATTCCCTTGGATTTTGACCACTGGGCTGTGCACGTGAGCCTCTGAAGGACTGTTGCCTTATCATATCATAATTACCCAACAGAATTTGGCAAGATAATTTTTAACCTTTCAGTTTTGAAAGGCAATGCATGTCTCTGGTTTCATCATAGGCATCCTTCAGTCTCGAAAGACTATGGGAACATGCTCTGTATCGAGAAGTGTCTTCTCCAGAGCATGAAGCCTGGGTAAAGTAGTATGGAGGATAGGCTGTTACCCAAGCAGCAAATCCCCCCTCTCCACGTTGCTGAAATGATCCAATGGAAAGGCAAGAGCCAATACAACTGGTTCCAGCAACGTCGCAGGAGTTGGCAGAATGACACGAACTGCTTTCGGGACTCCAGCTCCAGATTTTGCCTCTAGATTAACTCCTGAAGCCTTTTCCATGACTGGATATAGCCACAAGGCAGTGGAGGTTTGAAATTGGAGTTTTTCTTCTCCTAGATGGGCTGCCTTCCATGGCTGACAAGCCCCACCTACCCGACCTGCTCTCTCTGGTTTATTTTAGTGTTAAAGGAATATTTCATGCAGCTGGAGCATTATTTTTATTACTTGGAGATGTGATCGATTTTATTTCTTGCATTACAGTTAAAAGAGTTACGATAGTTTTTGCAATTTCCTAAGTGTAGGCCCTGAGTTTGGAAACAGCCCAGTGGAAACATGGCACACATACCAAACACAAAGCAGATATTTTTTATGTCATGTTTTACTCCCTATCTGAACAGGTAAGGTGGAGAACGCAACTGGGTTTCCCCAAAAAACATAGTGGGCACAAAAGGCAGCGTTTCCACTAGAGCTAATGCCACTGTCACTTTAATGATGTGTTGCCCAGACAAACTGGATAAAGAGGAGTATAATTACTGTTGTGACAGCTGCTGCTTTTCCTCAACAACCTGTTCTTATTTTCTTATTTTCAATGTATCTCCAATACATTGAAGCATATTCACAGTTTCTCTATATATTGATAAGCACTTTCTTAGCAGCCAGTGAAATAGTTCATACTCTTTTCTGGTATTTCACACATGGACAGATGAAAGCTTAGCTCTTTAGCCAGATGTCTTTGTTTATCTGAGACCTCACCTACTATCAAAGCACTCACTCATTAACAACCACAACACTTAACTGTTGCTGTTCTTGCTCAGAACACACGTTCCATCAGTATACAGTACTTGCATCTCCATGTTCAGATAACGGGTTCTTCCAAAGCATGCTAAACTTTGGAAATGTAGCTGAGTTGTGTAGTACTGTGATTTGTTTTAAACTCCACTTTGACCCTAGCTGTATTCTGCTGGAAATCAGACTGCTGTCTGATTACAGATCTGGCTCAAAACAGCATGTTTTAGCAAATACATAAAAGCATCAGTAACTTTATTATTATGCAGATAACTTTTTGACTGATTAGATTAGGTGATAGAGTACCCATTTAACGAATGCAAGGAAGCAACATGACCAAAGAAAGGATTCTCCAGAAATGAACAGAATAGCAACTAGCAGGTTTCCAGATATCAGGAAACAAAGAGAAAAGGAGAGTGTGGAGTGTGACTTCAGGTTCTGAAGGTAGGGAGTGAGGAATCCCAAAGAGGTTTTAGAGAAGGCAGGAAAAGAGTTTCTGAAGGTACAAAAAACAGTTCTTGAGCCTCCATTCGGTTCTGTTGGGATGAAAAGGGGTCAATGACTCATTGAATACACCTTGGTGGCTCAGGATCTCTAAAGAGGGCAAAGAAAGAATTCAGAGGATCTGAGGCTCAGGGGAGGAAAAGGAAGACAGGAATTCTGGAGACTGATGAGGAAGGAATTGTGGAGAGACTCAGGGGAATCCTAAAATGGCAGGGCATTTATAGACTTCTTGTGGAAAAATTATTCTCAGATATTAGTTGGATTAACTAAAACATACTGTCATTCCTCCGAAACAAATGACCAACATGAGACATGGGAAAGCTAATTAAGCTGAAGGGGTCATTTGTATCCCTCCCCCAGACTTTCAAAGGGCTTTTGAAGTTATGAAGACTGCCATAAGTAAACTAAGGGTGCTGTTTTAACACCTGATTATCCTCCAGGCAATCTGCAGGATGCTCTCCTTTTGATTGCACTGCTCCCCGCTGGGTTGAAAGCGGGATTACCAGTAGGCAATTGATAAAATCATTCATTCTGTTAAGAAACAGTGATGCTTATTGATTTTGTCTTTTCCTTTGGGTTGGAGGAGGAGCAGACGGGGAAAGTCCAGGAAGCTTGCTTAAGCAAGGGAAAATACTTATTCGTTTAAGATCAGTTAAACTTAATCTTTAAGGTTTTCCTTTCTTATTTTGCAATCTGTATCTGCACTGTTGTGATACTTGGACTGTTCTTTTTTTATTGGCAATGATCTTTTGTTCTTTTCTTTTTCTTTCTATGGTTTCTTTTATAAACTTTATAAAAGTTGCAAGTCTGATCGGTAAGCTAACTGAAAAAGGGAGAGTTTCTGTTTTCCAGTCCTATCCACTTGGTCACTCTGCTGAATTATACATAATTTGGTGAAGAGGACTCAGTACTTCAAAATTAAAATTCTGGGGTGGTTGAAGGTACATGGAAAACTTCCTGTAACTTCCCAACAATTCAAACCCTTACCCGGAGATGGGGTGAGGGAACAAGAATCATCACACATCTGGAAAGGGAGCATATTTGTTTTTAAAAAAGAAAGGATAGCTCTGGAAAACACAGTTTTCAAATTTTCCCTCAGGAGGGATAACTATTTATTAAGGAAGAAGAAAGTGAGCTGCAAAAGAGTTCTACAGTACTTCTTCTGTAGCACCCTTTCCCTTTAAGGACTCTCATCTTAAATTGAATAGTTGGTAAAATTAGGCTTTGATTAGATTGGAACTGAAGGAAGAGTAAGTATGTTGCCACCTCAGAAAGTCATATGCAAGCTAAACGGGGACAGGGGCACTCTTTTGTCTATTTTTTTGTAAGCATTCTTCAATAGAAGAGTCAAGTGCACTTGTCCTGTACAGAGAGATTCTTACTCACTAACCCTTTCAAGCGAAATTTGAATGTTTTAGAGGCAAAGTGCTAAATAGCATACCAAAGGGGCAGCTAAGCTATCATAATGATGTAGTTGTTCAAGTAGATATCAGGAAATGGATCATTATCTCATCTCTGCAGAAAGATGTCTTAATCCATATTTCACAATCATTTTCTCACTCAGTGACCATAATATTCGTAGCCTAAGATTATTTTGATTTTTTTACATCCTATTCTCCCTATCTTCTTCATTAAACCTTACTTGTTGCTAGTCAGAATGTCACAAAATAACAGCATTCCTGCAGAGCAAATTTCTTATGTTTTCATAAATTTTCCTCTCTGTTTTTTCTTTAAAAAGCCTGCAAAACAGTAGCAGAACTATAGTCACAACAGTGACTTATAAAGTGAATAGACTTTTTGTAAAACAAAGAAGACTTTGCTTTTCTCAGCTTGCTTCTACAGTACTCTTTGTGTTCAAAATGGTAGTGACTTAAATATAGTAAGGTAAAGGTAAAGGTTTCCCTTGACATTTTTTTAGTCCAGTCATGTCTGACTCTAGGGGCGGTGCTCATCCCACTTTCAAACCAAAGAGCCAGCACTTGTCCGAAGACAGTTTCCATTGTCACATGGCCAGCGTGACTAGGGAACACCGTTTTACCTTCCCACCGAGGTGGTCTCTATTTATTTACTCGTATTTGCATGCTTTCGAACTGCTAGGTTGGCTAGGAACTGGGACAAAGCGATGGGAACTCACTCTGTCACATGGATTCGATCTTACAACTGCTGGATTTCTGACCCTGCAACACAAAGGCTTCTGCAGTTGAAATATAGTAGAAATAACAATACTAGGGTGTTACTAGGAACCTTTGAATAGATTGGGTCAACCAGTAATCTAATTTCATTGTGCAGGAGCCATTGCAGATTAATCACTGTTGCCAAAATATTTACATCATTTGACATTCAACCCTCCACCCCCATTATAATGAGGTGAAGGAAAGTGGAGCTGGGTAGGCTAACCCACCCCTTGTATTTTTGACTCTCATTACTGACCCTGATACTTGCATTTTAGTATGAAGTTCTAATGGGAACTGCTTTCCCACATATGCAGTTTCCCTGTAAGTTTCAGAACTCTGGACTAATTCCATAGAAGCATACATGAAATAATAAAGTTTCCAGTCTCTGGTATCCATCTTTCAATATGTTGACAGCAACGATGCAACCAGCAAAGGGGCAGAACTAGCACAGTCATTCCTGCTGTATTCCTGCTGTATTTGCAGTTCTAATGACGATGGAAATTTGAATGCCGTGACACATTTCTACCCAGGCACAATTTTTTTTTCATTTGAGACAATTTTGAAAAAATGGGATGAATTTAGTTATGAGTGATACAAAATCAAGTACCTTATACATACATGTGCAGCCTGATGAGCCATAAGTATCAACTGTGCCATAAGTTTCTTTTTGCCCTTCTTGCAGCTGTTTAACACAACTATTGAAACATCTGAAAAAAATGATGTTCTGGAGCTTCGGCTGGTAATACTACTTAATCAGACCCTTTATTCAACTTATACAAATGTTTCCCGGGGTCTTTTTGAACAACATAAACTTATCTACAGCTTCATGTTGTGTATTGAGATCATGCGGCAGAAAGAAGAACTCACAGATATTGAGTGGAATTTCTTCCTCCGTGGAGCTGCGGGTTTAGATAAGGTATTTGGGTGTCCATTTTTATATTTAGTGGGATTTCAAATGTCTATGTCTGTTTGGCGATTGCATGGAAAGGATTCCTACACAGGAATCAGTACTATGGCTAGTCAGGCACCAGGTCTGCTGCGCTAACAGGATGCCATAGAGAAAGGTGTATCAATTCAGGATGTGGTCACTGTGCTGTGCAAAGCCATGCATTAAAGCAATGTGAATGGACAGATGCCTTTTTTTTCAGCTAGTGTTTGCTTTCAAAACATTTTACAGTTGAAGTTCAGGTAGGTACATGCTTATTACGGATAAGTAGGAATGCAGTTTTCTCTGAGCTCTGTCCATTTATATCCTACAAAATGAGACTGCAACAGATAGTGTTGCCTCTTAGCTGTGCACATGCACATGTCTGAAGCTCCATCAGGGTTGCACATGGGCAGCCAGCAGCCGGTTTGTTTACTTTCCATTTCAAATGAAGCCCCGCCTACCCCTGTGCACATAGAGCAAGATTCCTGCACAGCGGGACAGAAACTTAGAGGAAATGTTGCAACAGACATTACAGACCCAGCAGGTTGACAAGCCTAAACAGAGAAACTACAAGCAGTGAAACAGCATTTTGTAGGCTGTCTCAGAATTGAGTGGTAAGCCCATTGTTTGATCCTAGATAGTTTCAGATATTTGGAAAGCACCTAAGAAATTGATATTCTTCAGTTTTTGAAAGTTACTTACTTTTCCAATGTATTCTGGAACATCTTGGCCAAAATCCAGTTGGCATCATTTCTTTCCCACATAGCATCTATGAGAAGATATTTTCCTTCTCTCCTGCAGTACCCAAAACTCTATTCTGAAGAGGCTCGTAGCCCTCTGAAGCAGAAACTGAGGGAGCACAAGAGCTGGGTTGTGATGAAGGAATCACAGCATTTCCTAGACCCATCTTGTGGCAGCCCAAGTACCATACTGGATCCTACCCAATATTGCAACCATTGGATTTTTTTTCCACTTCTTGTTTTAGTAGCCTAGAAAAGAAAAAAAGGTTTTAGTAAAAATCATAATTAGATTGAAGTAAGCAAGTCAGTACATTGGTACTTCAGACTGAATACTAGTATTACCTTGAAAATAACAAAATAGATCTCAAGTGGTCATCCTTTAGATATGAGCAATGTTTCCAAGTCATGAAGTAGTTTCTTTTTCTGAAATAGAAAATAAACAATGTCTTCATTTTGAATTTTCTTCAGCTATGCTCCCATTTGAACTAACAAATCAGGAGAGTTATACTTTATATTGGAGGTGGACAGATTTCAAGCTTAAATAATCCACTTTGTTTTATCTGACTACCAGAAAGCAAAACCCAGTGCAAAATGAATTTCCCTAAATTAAAGAATTCAGAACCCACAAATTTGTCATAGGTATCCAAAGATAATAAACAAAGATCATAATCTTCCAAGACACAAATCCATTCCTAGTTATCCCACCTGTTTGTTTGTTTGTTTGCTTGCTTGCTTGATTTTATAACAGGGGTGGCCTACCAAACCTGATGTTCCATGGCTTGAAGAAAATGCCTGGTTTATGTGCTGTGACTTAGAAGAAACACTCCCATATTTTGTGGGGATTCTAGATGACATACTGGAGAAGCACATTTCCATTAAATTAGGTAACGTGATAATTATGAAAAGAGACTAAATAATTTTTCCTACCAAATATTATACTTTAGAATGATGATTCTAGTTTTTCTTCTCTGATCTGTTGCCTCTTTTGGAGTCTCATGGTTATTTAATTTCCTGTGCTACTGTGTGATTTTTCTATGGTTGACAAAGGGTAGTTGTTACACAGGGCATTTTTCCATACTAGATAGTATCTTATGTGTGTAACATTTAGATAGGGCATATTAAACTGTTCCATCTGGTTTGCAGTGTAGTATGTATTTTGTGAATCAGTTTCCCTAGATAGGGAATTAGAATTAGGGATTCTGAATTTTTATGTACAGAAAATATCTCACACCCAACAGTAGTACTGTGTTACTTCATCTTAGAAAAGTCATGGATGTTGTTCCATGGCCCGGATAGCTGCCTTGCCTTAGTCCTACAATACCATTGTCATCAAAGTACTGCATAGATTTTTATACTGTTTATGTTTCCAAAGTCTTTATTTACTTATTTTTGTACCTTGCTTTTCTATAAAAATCCTTAGGAATTAAAAACACAAGGAAAATACACTGTAGAAAATCCAAAGTTGTCAAGAGATAGAGGTAAAAGAGGTAAAAGTAAACATCCCCCCCTGCCTAAACATTTCAGATAAAGGGCTGCCAGGGAACTTGGACTTAGGTGTTCGGGAGGAACATTCTAATCCACACCACCAGAGGGGAAATCTGAAACCTAGCACTTCAGCACATTTTGCATTGTCTATATGGAAATCAATTTAAACCAAAAAAAAGCCTAACAGATCTGGCAATGGATTTTGGAACTTTTATGTTTTTTCTGCACCAACCCCACCTGTATAATTTTCAACCTGATTAATACTTCTGCAGAGTTGAAAGCTGGTTTTTGCTCGTAATATTTTAGAGATCTAATAAAAGTAGCACCCACCTTTGTCTTCAGATCATGTGCAAAGGCCACATGACTCTTTTTATTTCTTTTCTGTTAACATATCAAGAATTCAGTCAGCCAAGGTTTGGCTTTATATCTTAGCTTGCTCAAAATCCATAGACATAGTTTCCAGATTCTGATATACTGGGGAGTTGTAGTTGCCTGAGACTTTGTTTTTTTCCCTAACCTGTAAAAAGGGAGGAACAAAAAGCAAAGCAAAAGCAAAGCATGCTGCTTATATACAGCCCCATAGCGCTTCAAGCACTCTCTGGGCGGTTTACAAGTTAATTGTGCAGGCTACACATTGCCTTCCCAGCAAGCTGAGTACTCATTTTACCAACCTCGGAAGGATAGAAGGCTGAGTCAACTTTGAGCCCGCTACCTGGGATTGAACCCCAGGTTGTGAGCACAGTTTTGTATATCAGTACAGTACATAGTCCTCAGTGCAGAGCACGATACCATAGTCTCTCGAGACTGAAGGATGCCTATGATGATGACAGTACATAGGGACTGTTAAGCTGAGTTATGATCTCTATGAAATTATGCATACGGCTTCGTTCTGCACCTCTGCAAACATCCTCAGAATATTCTAGAGCTCAAAGAAGTGCTAGGCACACCCTCTCCACCACAGATGCTCCCCATCCTGAAGGCAGTCCTCAGTTCCCTTTTTGCCACTGCTGAGAGAACCCCTCGGGAGTTTTCCCTTGAGCCTACTGGCATTAGTTTTTTTCCTTCATACTATTTTAACATAGTTTTTCTTACTTGTCTTTAACAGTCTCCTTCTCTTCGCCATTCCTGTAAAAATTGTTTATTACTGGTTAGTTAACTGTGGTCTCACCATTAATGGCAATTCCCGCTTTTTATGGCCCCAACAGGCCCATTCAAAAGATGTGTTATCTGTAATAATAAACTCCGCCTCACTGACTAACATTCAGAGTGTTTATATTGCCTCAGTAAGGGACATCAACCACAAAATTGTAAGGGAGCTATCAGGAACCACCAACCACACCCGAAAATTTATGTGTGGAAAAAGTCCTTGCAGGCCATTGATAGCATCGCTAGGGGGACTTTGATTCCTACAATTTCAGTCTACAAAATTTGGTCAAAGAAACCTAATGGAGGCTCTCCAACCCGTTTCAACCCCTGCTAAGACTGTAGATGAACTGCCTGTTCAAATAGATCCTAGCCAGCAAACTCTGATTGAGCCTTGAAACCAAGGACAGGCCACCCACTTCCAAGTTGTAAAAACCACCACCATCAATGCAGAAAAGAAGGAAGAAACTATTGATTTGGATCCTCAGTCAAAAAAGTTCAAGACCAAGAAATCAAATGGCCCAGCACCTCTGCCCAAAGCACTAACACTGCCCCCCTTTGCCTCCCCATCTGCCTCAGCACATCAAGACCCCATTTGATGGCAGTGAGGAGCACAATTACTTAATCTGCCTCGGCTCACTTTTGGAGGGAGAGATGTCCTGAAATCATGCATCATCTTCAATCTTTGGCCAATTGCTTGAATGGAGCTAAGTCACCCAGCAAACCCTAGACAAGTTGTCACTGCCCTGTCACAGTTCAAGGGCCATTCCAGCCGAAGGATTGCTCATAGGCTTTCTTCGCAGCATCAAGCTCAATCCTTTAAGGATAAAGGGCCCAGAAGAGGAAACAGACTGGCCAGACATTAGTATTGGCTAGTTGAGGAGTATTATTATTATTATTTATTTAATTTATATCCCGCCTATCTAGTCGCGGTGGACTACTCTAGGCGGCCAACAGCAGAGATAAAATACAATAACATAAAACAACATAATTACAACAACAATTAAAAGTAGGGAAACAATAAAGGAGAGAAGAAAATCAAAAGCTATCTGGTGAGAAGGCCTGCCTGAGTAGTTGAGATATCCTCATCAGTTCTACCATAGAACTATATCCTCCTTCTTTCCTGGCCCAGAATGACCTTTTCTGCCACTATACTACTAATATCCTATGGTCCGAGGTGGCAAGACCACTGGCCAGTTTAATGGCCTGCCTATGTTTTCATTGGTACCTGCACCATATACTCATTGACCTCAAGCTTCATGCTTGATTTCACCAGGTCTGAAATGTTCATATCCAACCATAGCTTCCAGATCACTTGAATCCAGATGTTCCCAAGCTGCCTTGGCTCTAAAGACATCAAAACTGATGAAATAGTATGTCAACCTTCCGCACACAACCTCTTAAGTCACAGAGAAAAAGGCATCATGCTGACTGCTCATGGTCGACATTGAAATCACCTCCAAGGAGGGAACACCATAATCTTTCCTTCCCATATTGACCACTCCACTTCGGTGTTGATAGAGGAACGCACTTCACCATACTGTCTGCTCCACATCCCAGTCAGCCTCCAGATCCCGTTTCCACTTTCCAAGCACCTTAAACCTGCCTCCCATCAGGAAAGAAATCTAGATACACACTAGTTTCGACTATATTGGTTTCAGCAACTCCTGACCAACAAGATATCTTGTCCTCTTGATCAGAATCAAAGTCTCTAATGCCACAGCCAACTGAACATAGGGTAAGGAGAGAACCTACATCTGCTTCTCCACCATACAAATGTTCTTCAGACTGAAGGTCTCTAAAACAATTCCCAGTTCCAAACAAAATCTCTACCTTCTTGCCTGAACCGCCCAAATCACCAAGCACTAAGCATTGACAACATACCCCTGAAACAGAAAAATCATGGCAGACTTCAAAAAAGTATTTTAACCATGCACTTAGCTTACAATCTTCATCCAGGTCCAAGTGTCACTCACCTGTACAAGAAGAAAAAGCCTCTATTACTATCAGCTCCATCAATTTCAACCATTCTGACGCAAAACTCTCCATTGACTTTCCTTCCATGTTGAGGACACTAACTCCCAATCCCCTCCAAGGACTTTAGTTCCTACTCTGACCTGTCTTGCATATGGCTAAATCACTGCAGCTCACTGTCTGCACCCTGCTCAGACCTACTATGTGACCGGATCAACGTTACCCTTCTGGTTCATATCAGCATTCATGCTTTTCTTCTGGACCTTGTAAAGGAATCATGGCAGAAGCCATTTACCCTGCTCCTAAAATTGAGGTGCATGGAGAATCTTTATAAGATTCATGATAAAGAAGCTACTTTCCTTCTTGGATATCTCCAGCTAAACTCCATTATAGTTTAAGCTACCCAGATAAGATCTAGAGGGCATCATAACACAGCACCTAACAATACAGAGGGACGAAAAATAGATATAATCGGAAGAAGAAACTACTCCACAACCGCCCTTGGAATAAGAATCAGAAACTACCAAGAAGCAATAGCGCCCTACCCCTCCTTAACAGTCTGCCAGAGGATAAGAAAGTATAAATTTTGAAATTCCAGCAACAGGTCATGGCCCTGGTAACTCAAGAGATGCATGCCACCCATCATCCTATTGACTATGCCACAAAGAAAATGGCAGCCTCAGTAACACTCAGATTATATCCCTCGCTCAGATCATCAAATATTTCAGACAAATTGAGATCATTCATTGAGGACTTACCATTTGGCTGCGAGAGCCTGTTCAGTATTAAGACTGACAACTTCATGGCAATATTTACAGGAAAGAAATACTGCTAAACATACAGGGTTTTCTTCACAACCTCACAAACCATCCTTACTGGAGACATCCCTGCCTTTCAGCTTCCAGCAGGTACTCCTCATATAGACCAAAACCACATCCCTCAATCTCTTCTCAATACTTTAGGCAGCCTGCCACAAAATCCAAAGATAATTCCATCAACACTTCAAAATGCTTCAACAAGGAGTCCAAACAGCAACTTTTACTTTCCACCATTTGAGATCCACAACCCCACAATTCTCCAGCATCTCACCACCATTTGACGACATCAACACCTGTTGCACTATCAAGAGGGTGGCAGGGTTTTGTTGCAGCAAGAATTGCTAGGGTTTTAGGCAAGCTCCTGAAACTGACCAGGACCCCTTGGTTCTGGCCTCCCCAAACTGGGGTGGCGGCGGGTGTGGGAAGGATGGCCCACTAGGAGAAGTGTCATCTGAAGCAGCAGAGATGACAAAAGGGTGGAATGGGACCAGTAAAGACTAGTTCCCCCTTCCAAAGTCACATCTGAGTGCACAGACTGAGGAGGAAACCATCTTGACAAAGAGCTGGAAACATCCCAAGCAGAGAGTGAGAGGGTGCAAAAGGATCACAGAATCATAGAAAAGTGAAGTTGGAAGGGACCTACAAGGACATCAAGTACAGCCCTCTGCTCAATGCAGGAAAACAATCAAAGCATATCTGCTAGGTGATTATCTAAGTTTTTCTTGAATGCCTCCAGTGTTGGAGCACTCACCAGCTCCCGAGGTAACTGGCTCCACTATTGTACTGCTCTAACAGTTAGAAAGTTTTTCCTGATATTCAACCAAAATCTGGCTTCCTTTAACTTGAGCCCATTGTTGGATGTCCTGCACTCTGGGATAATCAAGAACAGATCTTGCCCCTCCTCTGTATGATGTTGAAACTATCTCAACCAGAGACTCTGAGTAAGTTAAAATATCTGTTTATGTAAGGAAAATCTACATGAACCCAAATAACTACACAGAAAAGAGATAAAGAGTCAGCAAAAAAAATCTTATGGTAAAAGTGAGCCTCCCCTTCCCCCCCCCCCCCCAGCTTGGATCTGGAGAAAAGGGGGAAAGGAGAGAAAGGGAGAAGGGGAGAAAATTACCTTGTCATGAAAGTAGAGCAATCTAAAATAAAAGCCTTGCTCCCATGACTATCTGAAATATTTGATAACAAATCAAATCCTATTTACTTCAAAGCATTGCTGATTCTTTACATTTTTATTGTTATGACTTAGTGACTGTGAGAACTTTCTACCCAGAGGGAAGCTCCACCCCCCTCTTGTATTGGACATGTAATTAAGACTGAAAAAGGGAAAACATATGCTGACAGAAGTCTTAAACAGCACTCCTTAAAGAAAAAGAAAGCAGCTGCTGACAGAAGCCTTAAACAGCATCCTTTATTTAGGGATGTATCTCACTCTCTGGAATTTTACCCTCTCCCTATCAATACCTACCCTCATAACCCAAAATTCCCTTCCCCATAATCCTACCCCCGTTGAAAAGATTAAAAAATCAGAAATGAAACACCTGGTGCACCATCAGTAACAACAGTTTGGCTTGACCATAGTCCAGCAGGACTATGCCATAGAGATCTAACAAGGTACTTCAGAACTACATTGCTATTTCAAGTTCTTCAAAAAGAAATAGCAACCCTTCTCTAGAAGGATGCCATACAGAATCCCTCCTGAGTCTCAGGCCAATGGCTTCTATTCCTTTTGCTTTACTGTCCACAAAAAGGATGGATGTCTGAAGCCTATCTTAGACTTAAGGGACTCATGCATAGGTACCAAGAAATTCAGAATGGTGACATTGTAGACAATCTTGCCACTTCTCAAAAAGAAAGAATGGTTTGCTCAGATAGGCCGAAGGATGCTTACTTCCATATCCCCATCCATTCAGACCACTGGCATTTTCTGCACTTCAACATGCATGATGATATCTATGAATTTAAAGCACTTCCTTTTAGCCTCTCATTACCACCAGTTACAGCATATCTCAAGCTTTGTGGTATCATCCTGTTTCCATGCATAGATGACTGGCTGATTGTAATGGATTCAGAGCAAGGTAGAAAAACATGTGCCTTCAATCTATGACTTTTGTCAGATCTCAGCCTCTATGTCAACTTTTAAAAGTCACATTTGACACCAAACCATTCAATATGTAGGAGCTGCACTGAATTCCTGGTGAGGAAGAGCTTACCTGCCAGAAAACAAGATGGACTAGCTCCTCAAGCTGACAAACAAGCCAAATCCATTAATTACAGCACACACGACCCAAAAACTTCTGGGACTCATAACATTGACAATGTCAGTAATTCCTCATGTTGGCTTGAAAATGCATTTACTTCAGGGCTGGTATCTGATCTCCTTCAGCATCCCAACACAAAGCAAGAAGAAGATATTTTGGATCACCAAGGAGCTTACAGAGCAACTTCTGTGGTGGACAAACATGTCCAATCTATTGCCCAAGAGGCCATTCAAGCAACTACATACAAGCCACAATGAGTGAGTCTTACAGGCTGGGGGAGCATGCTGCCTGGGCCAACAGAGTCATCCTCACTGATCTGAAACAGAAAGTTTGGTTGCACATAAATATATTGGAGATCCTAGCTGTCACAAAAGCCTTCCAAGTGTTCAAAATCCAGAGCACTTTTCTGCAGACATGACATTTCTTAGGGGAATTCAAGTGAGAGACAATTTGCAAGGCAGCAACCTGGCTGCAGGCTTCAGTGTTCATCAAACATTATAGATTGGATAGTGTTGTATTCAACAGAGCATTGATCTCCTCTGTATTAGTGTGACATTCCACCAGCTGGTGAGTGAGCTTGGAAGTTACTCATATGTGTGACTTCACAGGACCATGAAGAAGGATAGGTTGCTTACCTGCAGCTGTAGTTCTTTGAGTGGTCATTCATGAATTCACACAACCCACCTGCCCTCCTCTCGGTCTGCCATGCAACTCCTGTTGTTTCTGGATCAGTGATGGACTGCAGGGGACAGAGAGCTGCCCACAGGGTGGAGAGCACACATGGTGAGCAGGGTATGGCATAACACTTTTTTTCAAGCTCCAGAAGATTCTGAGGAAATATATGCAGGCACAGAACAAACCTGTATGTTGAAACTCACAGATGACTACTCAAAGAGCTACAGTTACAGGTAAGCAGCCTGCCAAAATGTGTATACGGCAGATTGAAAATGTAATCAAATGTTCCACAGTAATTTCTGCATTACTCAAAGATATTTGAATTACAGATTGGTTACAATCCAATTACTTATGTATGCTGGCCTAAACAAGCTCCTTAACTAGCAGCATATTGCCCCTGGCTAAGGAGTCCCTTCTATTCCTTGTTACACTCCGGTAGTGTGAATTGGTACACAATAAGAATGCAAATGGTGAGCCCTTAACTAGCAGCAATTGCACTTATGCTGGTATACAGTATGTAAGCAATAGGATTCTGGCTGTTATTTATTTGTATCCTTCTGTTAAAATGATAAAACACTGTACAAAGTTTACAACTTTTAAAATGAATATTATGTTTAGTTTTACAGTCTTCTTTTGAGCACATTCTGTTTTAATCCATCAGCATTCTCAGCAGTATTCTTGATATACCTATTATGTTCAGAAATGTCAAATTACAAGGAACTGAGCTCTATATTTTCTGAAATGTTACATGTCTGATAGAATTGCACTTAGCTGAATAATGATTTTCTTCCAGAAATGTATAAACGAAAAGAGTTTGGAATGATAACAATTTTTTATTAGGGCAACTTGAAATTCGTGTTAATCCAGAACAGTGGGAAGGTTATAAGCCTGAAACGGAAGAAACTAAAAACAGAGATGAAAGTGTACACGTTCCTTGGGACACCAAGCTGACCATGTTTCAGAAACTGATTGTGGTGAAGTGCTTTATGGAAGAAAAGGTACGTTTTCTATTGACATGTTCATTTACTAAACCAAATAATCTCATTGGGAATGTGAAGGTAGAGGTAATCTTACAACATGAAAAAGGAGAGGCAATAGTGCCTTCCCTTTCCAACTTCTATGTATATGACTCTGATTGGGATTATACAGTGGTGCCTCGCTTAACGAGGATAATCCGTTCCAGCGAAATTGCTGTATAGCGAAATCCTCATTAAGCGAAATAAAAATCCCATTGAAACGCATTGAAAACCCATTCATTGTGTTCCAATGGGCTGAAAACTCACCGTCCAGCGAAGATCCTCCATGGGGGCGGCCATTTTCGGTGCCTGTAAAGTGAGGAATCCATCCAAAAACACAGTGGGGAGCCATTTTACACAGCGGGCGGCCATTTTGAAGCTGCTGATCTGCTGTTTTAAAAACATTTTCTAGTGAAAAATAGGTTCCCGAAGCAGGGAACCGATTGTCGGGAAGCGAATTTTACCTATTAAAACATTGTTTTGTGATCGCAAAACAGTCATCATATAGCGGTTTTGTCATTTAACGAGGCAATCGTTAAGCGAGGCACCTCTGTACTTTGTAGAACATGCAAGGTAAGATAGTGCCCTGCATGAGTTATAAGTACTCCACTAATTATAACCACCGTCCTGAAATCATCTTCAACACTTAAGCCAAATAAGTAGGGGTTATAGTTATACACCTGTTTTCAGCTCGAGCAGAAATAGAAGCTGTTAATGACTTTCTGTAACTTGGTTCAGTCATAAATCAAAAGAGCCAAGAAAGTGGGGAAATGGCTGTTGTGGGTTTTTCGGGCTCTTCGGCCATGTTCTGTTAGAGCATGGACTGAGTTCCTACTCCAGTCCTCTGAAGATGCCAGCCACAGAGACTGGTGAAACGTCAGGAAGAACAACCTTCAGAACATGACCAAGACCAAGACTGAATTTGAATTTGAATTTAATTTATTGTCATTGTACTTCCATACAATGAAATTAAGTGCAATTTCCAATATACATAATAATAAAACACACAAGAACATAGCATCCGTAACATGAAAACATAGCACATTACACATGAAACAGGACACTCTCATGCACATCCACATCCTTCACATTCAATTTCCCATCTCACAACACATTAATATTGCACTGTACAGTAGAATTCAATATAGCTGGGCCTCCGAAGCATGATCGGTGGTGGCGGCGGGGACCTCCGAGATGCCTCCCATGGCAGCGGAGAAGCCCTGGAAGGCATCCGGAGGTCCCCCACCGCTTGGTCTTCTTGATGTTAAGGGTCAAGTTGTTATCTTCACACCACGAAAGCTGTCGATTCACCTCATTCTGATAGGCTAACTCATCCCCTTAAGAAACAAGCATACCACTGTTGTATCATCTGCAGATTTGGTAATAATATTATTTTGATGCATGGATGTGCAAGCATATGTATACAACGAGTAAAGTAAAGGGCTCAACACACATCCTAGTAGTGTTCCAGTGTTAAGAATGAGAGCTGAGGAGGTGTAATTCCCCAATCAAACCCTCTGGGAACAACCAGATAGAAAATCCATAATCCAAGAACAAATTGAATGTGAAAACCCAAGCTCCATTGGACACTGATCTATATGGAAGGATTGTGTTAAGTGCAGAACTGAAGTCCACAAAAAGTGTCCTTGCATAGGTCCCTCACTGTTCTAGGTAGGTCAAGGCAGTGTGGAGAGTAATAGCTATGGCATCCTCCGTAGATCTGTTAATTCCGTATGCAAAATGATATTTATCCATTTTAGGTGAAAGACCTATGCTTGTGTGCTAGCTTCTCAAAGCATTTCATGATGTTAGACGTAAGTGCCACTGGTCTATAATCACTGAGGTTGTTAATAAGGTTCTTCTTTGGCAGTGGAACAATAATGGAAGCCTTCAGGCAGGATGGAATAATAGACTGTGATAAAGATCAATTGAAGATCTTGGTGAAAACCCCAGCCAACTGATCAGTACAATCTTTGAGCACATAACCAGGAATGACATTGGGTCTTGTAGTCTTTCTAGAATTCAAAGCCCTCAGAACATTTCTTACCTCATGCTCCTCCCCAGTGAGGTAGAAGTTGCTGTGGACTAGTGGCTGTCTTTTTGTTGCCTCTGGTAGTCCCACTTATTTATTTATTTATTTATTGGACTTATATACCGCCCCATAGCTCTACAAGCACTCTCCGGGCGGTTTACAATTTTAATTATACAGGCTACACATTGCCCCCCCTCTCCAGCAAGCTGGGTACTCATTTTACCGACCTCGGAAGGATGGAAGGCTGAGTCAACCTTGAGCCGGCTACCTGGGATTTGAACCCCAGGTCGTGAGCACAGTTTTAGCTGCAGTGCAGCGTTTTAACCACTGCGCCACGAGGCTCACTTCAAAACGAGTGAAGACATGATTCAATTCCTCGGCCAATGAAGCTTCCCCCTCAGCAGAAATGACATTATTTGATTTATAGTTATTTGCCAAAACCCCTGCCACACTTGCCTCATATTGTTATTGTGAAACTGCTCTTCAATTTTCTTCGTATAGTCACTTAGCCTGCCGAATACCTCTCTTCAGCCTGGCTCTCGCAGCACTATATCTTTCCCCATCACTACACCTGAAGGCATTGTTCCTTTCACACAAAAGGCACTGGATTTCCTTAGTCATCCAGGGCTTCTGATTGGGATAGATCCGTATATCTTTATCCACAGTAACAGTATCTATGCAATATTTAATATAGCATAAACAACTGCGGTGTACAGGTCCGGATGATAGAAACTATCCCAGTTTGTTTTCTCAAAACAATCCTGAAGTTGCTGCGAGGCATCTTTAGGCCAAGATTTCACTGTCTTTATTATAGGCAAAGTCTGTCTGCTAAGAAGAATGTATACTGGCTCCAAAAACAGTGACATATGATCTGAATGTCCTAAGTGTGGTAATTGTATAGCCCTATAAAAGGTAAAGGTACCCCTTGAAATTTTTAGTCCAGTCGTGTCCGACTCTAGGGGGTGGTGCTTATCCTGTTTTCAAGCCGTAGAGCCAGTGCTTGTCCGAAGACAGTTTCCGTTGTGGAAACGTGACTAGGGAACGCCGTTTTACCTTCCCACCGAGGTGGTACCTATTTATCTACTCACATTTGCATGCTTTCGAACTGCTAGGTTGGCAAGGAGCTGGGACAAAGCGATGGGAGCTTACTCCGTCGTGTGGATTCAATCTTATGACTGCTGGTCTTCTGACCCTGCAGCACAGGCTTCTGTGGTTTAGCCCGCAGCGCCACCACGTCCCATGTATAGCCCTATAGCCATGCCTAATGTTGGTATATACTTTGTCCAGCATATTCACTCCTTTGGTAACACATTTAAGAAGCTGGTAAAACTTAGGTAATACAGTCCCCTATCATAATGAATGCAGCGTCAGGATTCCTATTCTTCTAATTGTCCACCATATTATACAAGAGTCCCTAAGCTGCACTGGTATTATCATCAGGTGGAATATAGACTGCAGTAAACAAGATCACATTAAACTCTTGTGGAAGGTATATTGGTCTACATGTAACAGCCATATACTCCAAATCTGGTATCCCTGCCCCTGTCTTTTTTTGGTGAAACCAGGTTTCTGGTTTTTGCCCATACTATGGTATTTGCAGTTGCTACATGCAGATGTGAAAGCTAGACAGTGAAGAAAGTTGACATGGAATAACTGGTTTATTCAAAATTTGGTGCTGGAAGAGAGCTTTATGGCTTCCAATGGTCTTCCAGAAACACAAATAAGTAACTGTTTAAACAAATTAAGGCTAAATTCCAGCTAGAGACTAAATGAGGTCTATTGTGTTGTGGACATACCATGAGAAGACAAGATTCAGTGGAAAAAACAGTAATGCTAGGAAATTCTCTCTTCTGAAGATTTGCAAGTGATGTGTATGATAACTAAGGTTATGGAATCTGATACATATTTGCCTGAAAGTAAGTCCCATGGAACCCAGTGGGATTTAGTTCCAACTAAACGTGGAGAGAGTTAGCGTGTTACCCAAGCCACATATCAAAAGTGTATTCTTCACTGTTTTGTTTTATTTAATTCATATAACAGAGTAAGGGACAGTTGATGTATTTAGCAGACCAGAGTCTGCAACTTTCCACAAAGATATAGCCGAAATATTATAGTAGTTGTGTTGTAAAGTAAGTGAAATTATTGTTCATACTAGAACATATTTAGTATTTTGCACTTGTAAATTGTCCGTGTTATTATTTATAGATTGTTGCTGCACTCACTGAATTTGTAATTGAAAACCTTGGAAAACAATTCATTGAGAATCCTCCAGTTGATCTTGCAACTCTTTATCAAGATATGTCTCCTTCCACACCATTAGTGTTCATCTTGAGTACAGGCTCTGACCCCATGGGAGCTTTTCAAAGATTTGCAAGAGAGAGTGGATATTCAGAACGGTATGAATTATATCTTTTCATTCTATATACACTATACTTCAGGTCTATGAAGGCTTTCACTGCTGCCATGAGTAAGGGGATGTTTCTAGGTGAGGTGTACCTGTGTTGCCTACACACACAACACCCATTCAGCCTGATACACATTCAGGAAAACAGGTTAATTATTTTCTCTTAAATATTCTGTCAAGTCAGAAGACATGTATCATGCTGGATACAGGATTTTTTTTATGACATAGATATAGTTATGACCCTGACATTTAACAATCACCTATGGTGGATCACCTGAATTTATGTAGCATTCTAAGCCTGCACATTTTGTGGTGTAACAGCCCAAACATAGCCATGTAAGGAGACTCACCAGGTACTTGACATTCTTCCTGCTTTTGCTATCTGCCTGGGCCTGGCAACAAGACAAGTTACCCAATATATAGTTGGGTATACTTGGCTTTCTTTACTCATACATTACTCAAAAGTGACATAGCATCTGTAGATAAAGGATGATCTCTCTTTTGCGAGTGAAGACATTTATTTTTGTTTTTTTAGCAAGTGTTTTTTTCCCCTTTTCTTTCCTGCCTTGATTGGTTGATTTTGTGCCTGGAAGCAAAATAAACAAATTTGCTTTGTAGTGTTGCTAGATCTCGTGCTTTGCAAAGACTGGAATTTCAGAAATAGCCTTGATTTTACCTTAGTCCTAGACTTCAACTTTTTTGGCACTATAACTTCCAGATTGCACAGGGCAATTACATGAGATCTGCTATAGAATCATGCTCTTTGAAATGAAAATGTCAGCAATATTTGAATAGAATTTCACTTGACAATGAAAAGTTACATCTCTAGCCCGAGGGATTTTCCACTGGAAAATTTCAAAGGTCTGCAGCTGTTCCTATCAGTGGGATAATAGGCTACATAAATATCTCTTATTACTCATTTATAAAAATTACAGGAAATGTAAGCTTTGGAATGTGCTTGGTAGGTAAATAAAAAGAGCAGATTTTCAGAAGGAAGTAGCCCAGACCCACAGTGGGTAGCAACATGTTTTCCAACATGTTGTCAACATGTTGTCAGCTGAATATGTTTGAACTGAAGCCAAAGTTATCCTACTTGATACACAACTGCTGTCAGATCAAGGGCCAGTTCACACATATGTGTGAACTGGCCCAGAGACCTCTGGGTAATGTGGGCGGCATATAAATTGAATAAATAAAATAAATAAATGTATGATTGATCAGCTGGGTAAATGAACCACTGTCAATTAATCAATACAAACAGGAGTTTCAACGCAACATGTAATGAGAACTCAATCATCTTGTATGAAGAATGATCTGTACAGAGTAGGGTTTGGTACCTACTGTTTGGTACCTGCTGCTATTACTTTCCATTTTGAATCAGAAGTGCCATCAACATGCCAAACATAAGGTTATGATACATACATTTACTGTATGTATGAGCTAGGAGATTAGGGAATAGTTGACATTATTTGCTGCTCCACAAGGAATAAGTTTCTCAAAACAGAAAATAGCTATTTAAAAATTCTTGTCCAACTTCATCCAAATCTGGTGCATACCATTTACAATCACTTTGCCAAAAAGTTAGAAATTTTTGTTTGGGCTGTTTGGATAATTTTTTGAAATATTCTTTTGACTGGTTACTTAATATCAGAAATGCAGTTCTTTGCACCTCTAATACCACTCTAGACATTTAGAATCCAAGGTGCTTAAATTCTTTTTGTTTCTCTCCTATCAGAAAATGCACATAATCATGGCATCATTGGTGCTGACATACGGGGACCCTGAGAGCAGGGACTTACTGGTGTACCCATCTCCCTTCCACCTATTTAACCCTACACATGTGTAGGCAAATGCTTAAAGGGGGCTATTTACCAGTCACTTGTCTCCTACAGTTATCACTAACATGTTATTGCTTTACTGTTCTACAAGAACTGAGTACCAATGGTTAAAGAAAGAGTAAAATGCTTAAATAATGTATACAAAATACATGTAATATGAATGCTAACAAGACACACTTGAATTTTCAGAGTGCAATCAATTTCATTAGGACAAGGTCAGGGACCTATTGCAGAAAAAATGATTAAGGATGCAATGAAAACAGGAAATTGGGTGTTTCTACAGAACTGTCATCTAGCTGTTTCATGGATGTTACCTATGGAAGAACTTCTAAAAACTTTTACAGAGCCAAGTATGTATATTTTTTTTCTTTCTCAGACATGCTACAGTTCAAAAACTTTGAGCCACTTCAGACTTCAATTTAAAAGGGCTAGCAGGATTTTTTTTAATTAAAAAGTCCTCATCAAACCAAAGTTTGTACATTCTGAATATTTTGCTGTTATTGAATAATAAAACAATTAGCATCTTCATAGATTTTTAGCATTTTAAAAGCTGCTTTGCGTGAATTACCCCAAGTATCCTTGCAGCATCACTTTAAAGTGATTCATCATTATTATCCTCCTACTGCAGGTGAATAGTCAAGGTAAAAGAGGTTTACCTAGTTTCTCTAGTGACAGGAGGCAAATATGGGTGAAAGACTTTATACACATGATGGGAAAGCCATCTACAACTATGTTTGCTCATTCACATATCACACAGGAAATGGAGTCTGTTATTTACGTATAAAACAAATAGGGGTAGAGCAAAGAAATAAACCTCAACCCCAGTCTTATTTCATGTGCAGTGTTATTTTTCCATTCTACTACACTATGGCTGAAATCCTGTTGCTTAACATAGGCTGCAATAGAATTGGGCCTATTAAATCAGTGAAGATTTGGTGAGATAACTTCTCTATAAGTTTTATTGATGCAAATGGGCCTAAATTTAGTTGCAGCTTACCACACTAAAGTAAGCCACAACTAGAGCTGGCCCATTTGAATCAGTGGAACTTACAGAGGAGCAGATTCACCTAATCCCGACTGATTCAGTGGACCTACTCTAATGTGACTTGCTATACAAAGCAACAGGTTTCCAGGCCATTGTCAAGGGGCAAATATTTATTACATCTGGTTTAGCCTTTTTGTACTGCACAGTGTCTTGGTGCTTTCATTGAATAAAGTTCTCTTTTCAGCAGAACTACCGTATAAAACGTTTGTCTCTTCCATAATAGCCCAAACTTATGTTGCTATGTCTACTCCTGTGCCACTTTTCAAATACAGTACATATATGCTGTCCTTTAATATGTCTGTTTCATCACTCTTTCAGGTTTTACCTCCCATGTATTAGAAGGCATTCAGCAGAACCCATTGAAATCAGTTGAAGTCAGTGGGACTGCCAATTGATCAATATTGATCATAAGAATTTAAACATTAAAATTGCTTTTGGAAACAACATACAGGTTCATTTCAATTATAAAATGTAACAAACTTTGCACAGTTGTGTGATAATAAAATTCTGTTTTTCAGATGTCTCTATTCATGAAAGCTTTCGACTCTATTTGAGCTCCATGCCATCTAATACTTTCCCTGTCACTGTCCTTCAGAATTCTGTCAAGGTAGTAATTTTTGTAAATATAAACAAAATGTAAAATATGTTTTTATAATAAATTAGCATCTTCAACATTGTTGAGTTGAGCTGCATTCTGTTCAGAGAGACATCAGTTTCTTCATCTCCAGTAATAAAGAAACAGAGAATGCTAGGGGAAAAAATCTACAATCTTCATGTCACTAGGCAGATCAGCTTCAGTCCAGCTCTTTCCACTGATGATCAGTTTGTTTGCCAAGTGACAG